TAGGAAGAGGCAGTTGCAATACCTGCCTGACAAGCAACAATGACTAAAGAATTTGAGGCATTACATGCTATTAATACTTGGGATTTGGTGTCACTTCTAGTTGGCAAAAGGGCCATAGGGTGAAAATGGTGTATAAGATAAAACACAAGGCAGGTGGGAGTATAGAAAGGTTCAAAGCTAGGTTGGTAGTGAAAGGTTACACTCAACATGACGGAGTGGATTACACTGATATTTTTTCATCTGTTGTGAATATGACAACAGTGAGGACTCTGATTGAGGTAGCAATTAAGAAGGGATGGAAAATATTTCAATTAGATGTGAACAATGCATTCCTCCATGGTGATTTACCTGAGGAAGTATATATGGAAGTACCACCATGATTGCTTATAGATCAATCTGGGATAATGTGCAAGTTGAACAAATCCTTGCATGGATTAAAGGAGGCTAGTAGACAGTGGTATGCCAAGTTGATAGAAGCTCTCTGTTCTAGAGGCTATATACATTCTATTAGACAGTGGTATGCCAAGTTGATAGAAGCTCTCTGTTTTAGAGGCTATATACATTCTATGTTTGATTACTCCCTGTTCTACAAAGGTAAAGGGAACTCAGTGGCTTTTGTAGCTGTGTATGTAGTTGATGTTATCATCATAGGAGCTCACTTGGAGGAAATTACCAGCTTGAAGAAGTTCCTACATGAGACTTTCAGAATAAAAAGATCTGGGCAGACTTCATTACTTCCTAGGGTTGGAGATACTTTATAAAGGGGATGGAGTCTTGATTACACAGAGGAATTTCACTCAAGACCTTCTTAAGGAGTTTGACTGTACATGGTATTCTGTTGTGACCTCACCTCTTGATTCAACAGTGAAGTTGAAAGCAGGAGAATGGATACTACTTCCAGATCCTAGTCACTATAGGAAACTAATTGGGAAATTGAACTTCCTTATAGGAACTAGGCCTGATATAGCTTATATTGTTCAACACTTGAGCCAATACATGCAAAGTCCTACAGATAGTCACCTAAAAGCAGCAGCACATGTGTTGAGATATTTTAAAGGAAATTTATCTCTAGGCAGCTTTTTATCCAACAATAGAGATTACAGAGTAAGAGCCTTTCGTGACTCTGATTGGGCTAGACCAATCAATTGGAAATCAAAGAAACAATCTACCATTTCCCTGTCTTCAGCAGAGGCTGAGTATAGAGCAGTCAGAAAAGTAGTTGGAGAACTGATTTGGCTTGCACGACTGCTTGAGGAACTCACAATACCCCTTTCTCTGCCCATACATGTCTTGTGTGACAGCCAAGCAACACTTCACATTGTAAAGAATCAGGTCTTCCATGAGCGGACCAAGCATATAGAAGTGGATTGTCAGTTTGTAAGTGACAAGCTTCAAGATGGCCTGATTTCATTACACTACATCCCTACTCATGAACCTCCAAATTGAGGGGGGGGGNCGACTAAGTTCGTATTGTATTTTGGGAAGTGTTGGTATAATTGGTTAAGGTCCCAAGGGCCTCGGGTGGATTCCGGATGGTTAATGGATCAATTTTTGGAATTAGGGAAAGAGCTGGAATTTCTGGTTGCTGGTGCTTTGATTCTGCAGAAGTTTGGTCGCAGAAGCGAGGTGAGGCTCGTAGAAGCAAGGCGAGGCTCGCAGAAGCGGTCCTGGGTGAGCTGGGCAGTGGCCGCAGGTGCGAGACTTTTTCTGCATCTGCGATGGCACAGATGCGGCTTCCCGGAGAGCAAAAGCAGAGTGAAGCGCAGGAGCAAGGGGGATTTGCGCACCTTCGGACCTTGTCCGTAGGTGCGAAGGGGCAGCTTTCAGTGTCTTCCGCAGAAGTGGACTTGGTGCCGCAGAAGCGACGCCGCAGAAACGGCCTTTGGCTGCGCAGATGCGAAGGTCGCTGGGCAGTGTTGTTTTAAGAACGGGATTTGGCCTATTTTTCTCTCATTTTCATTTGGTTAGGACGATTTTGGAGAGCTTCAAGGGGAGATTTTCATCAAGCAAAATAAGGTAAGTGATTCCTACCTATTACAAGTTAAATACAAGGGTTGTATATGGATTTTTACATGAAAATTAGTAGAAATTGTGAGATTTTGAAGAAAATCTAGAAATTGGTATTTTTGGAGTTTGACCACAAAATTTGACATGATATTGGGAATAAGTTATATATTTGAGTTCATAATATAATATTATGGGTAATGTTTATATTTGAAAAATTTTGGAATCCGTGCACGTGGGCCCGAGAGTTGTCTTTGTTGGCTTTTCGAGCGAAGTTGGGAATCATTATAAATTGTCTAATTGTAAGCTTTGGAGTATATTTTGATTAATTTGCTCATTGTTTGACTAGTTTCGGAACGTTTGGCTTGGAGTTGAGGTGTTAGAGAGGCGTTGGAGCTGGTTATGGAACTTCGGAGCGAGGTAAGTCTCCTATCTAACCTTGTGAGGGGAAACTACCCCATAGGTGATGTAATTGTTATGTGCTATTAGTTGTGGGAGCTATGTATGAACGGGGTGACGAGAGTCCATACGTAGCTAAAACATGTTTATGTCCGGGTAGACTTAGGATTTTATCATGCAATATGTGAATTACTTGAACTTATTCGGTTGGCTTAATTAATCAAAAATATAATTGAACTTGATTTAGAAATTAAATATATCTTAGGTCAAGCCTTATCACTTTGAGTTGCGGGAAAGATAATTGAGAAACGGTAAAGGTTATACTCACTTTGTATTCATGTACTGTATTGTAAATACGTATCTTGTAATTCGGAAACTTTCTTCATTTCTTGTGGAGCGGGATGAACGCCTCGGCAATATATAGATGCATTTATGGTTCGTGCCACTCGACCCTCGGCAGTGTACACATTATTCTGGATCGAGCCGAACGACCTCAGCAGAATCATGCGTGATATCGCTAGTAGTCCGAATATTCACGAGATAAACCTTCCACTGATGCCCAGCATTTTATGGTATTCCTTATTTATTTGATGTTGACACTTGGCACTTTCTGAACTATTAAGGTAGAATACAAGATCGAGGAATTTATATTTTAAAGGAATATTTGGAAGATTATGAAATTTACAGATTCTCCCCACTATTTTTGTGCACTTCATATCTGTGATGAATTAGTATATTATTTTTTTGGACCTCTAGTAAGTGTCGATATCGACCCCTCGTCACTACTTCTCCGGGGTTAGGCTAGATACTTACTGGGTACGAGTTGATTTACGTACTTATGCTGCACTTCTGCACTAAGTGTGCAGGATCCGACAGGTTTCTTTGGTGATCACCATGGCGCGTAGGCACATCTGTTGAGGAGACTTTATGTGAGCTGCAACTCAGGCTACGCACCGCAGTCCACTGAGTCCCCACTGTACCATTTATTTTATCTTGTCTTATTTACGTTCTGGACTGATATTGTATTATTGTTGTACTCCTTAAAAAATGGTTATGCACTTGTGGCACCAGGTTTTGAGGGTTTCTACTAGATTTTTAGTATGGTAGTTCACATAATTACTATCATGTTACCCTGTAAATTTTATTTCATACTGTTAAATTAAGGAAAATTATGATTTCAAAATACTAAAGTGAGTAATTAAGCTGGTTATTCACCATTGGCTTGCCTGATGGCGGTGTTAGGCGCCATCACGACCTTTAGTGGATTTTGGGTTGTGACAACTTTGTATTAGAGCATTAGGTTCACTTGGGTCTCAAGAGGCACGATTAAGTCTAGTAGAGTCTCGTGGATCGGTACTGAGACGTCTGTACTTATCTTCAAGAGGCTGCAAGGCTGTTAGGAGCACTTCCCTTCTTGATTTCTCATTGTGCGATTTGATTCCTTTGAGGCTTATGCCTTTATTTCCTTCCTACTCATTCTTATACGATGTTGAGTGCTCGTGTCGATTGGGTATCGAGGAGTTGCAGTGATACTACAAACGTGGAGCAGGATGTTTCTCCATGCGCATTCGAGCAAGTTAATATCGTTTTCTTGCAGAAGGATGTTTTGTCATTCCATCTTAGTAGCTGGATTTCTGATGGTTTTGAGGCTACGCACATGTTGCTATGATGTTCATGAGTTGTTAGTATTGATGTAATGGTGGGGTGCTTGTTTATGTGTCGACGCAGTGAATCACTTGAAATGAGGTTTTTCTCAGAGCGTGATTCAGAGGTTCTGCATTTAATTCCAACAGAGGAAAGGCAATCATACTATGGATGTTCAGTCTTAGGTTGATGGAGTAATGCGACTTAATATTTTTGAGTGTGGTGGAATTCTCATTTGGGGATGTGGTGTCATCGTCCTTGTAGAATGCATTAAGGTTCGCCGGTGTTATGGTCTTCTTGGGTCTGCCTTCAGGGCAGGGTGTTGTGAAATGGTGCCTATGAAGCGGTTGTCAGAGATAGCGGTGTGTAGCAGTCCAGAATCGAATTGGTAATTCTAATATTGGTGGCTCGAGAAAGATGGTCTTCTAGGAGGTTTAGAGTTGGTAGAAATTCATTAGTTCAA